ATACTAGCAATGCCCCTCTACACTCTACATTGGACAAAGAGGACAGCCTCTATGCAAGAGGGTTAATGGGCACAAATCTGACATTAGAAATGGCAATACCCCCAGAAGGTTGCAGAACATTTCAACCTTTCTGGACACATAGGAAATGATCTGCAGGCTGTGGTCCTTGAACAATTAAATTAAAAAGGAAGATTAGAAAGAGAAACTGCTGAATTGAATTATATTCACAAATTACAATCCATTAGCAGAGGTATGAACTAAGACAATGGCTTCATGGTACACTACATGTATGAATACAAAAATCCTTGCGACTGCATATATAACAAAAGGAATCTTCTCAGAGAGAGTTTTGAGCCCTGGAAAACTGGTAGGCTTTCACATATAAACATTAATTGACCACTGTGCCCTTTGGAGAATTTAAGACAAGGGTAATGATTTGCATCTTTCTGGATCCTATTACATTCCATCCTACTCCCACAATTGTGTAAATAAGCTGAGTCCTGCATATCACTCTGTACTGCATCCAAAGAAATGGGTTTCTACCTATGAAAGCTCCTGCAAACATAAAAACCAGTCTTGCTGCCACATTTCTTTTTCTCCCACCCCCCTGCTTCCTCCTTTTTATGCTGCAAGAGATGTAACAGAACAGCTTCTTTGAAAATTACCATTTTGTATATCTATGTCAATGAGAAATAGAAGGAATAGCAGAGATGGGTGGGAGGGGATGTTGGGGGCAAGAATGGTCATGAAAGAATCTTCTAACACTTAAGTGCTAGCAGCTGTTTGCATCCAGCATGAGAAGCTTTGTAAACAGGATGTACTTTGTTCCATATCCAGAAGAAAAAACAAAACCCTGCTCAACTGACCTGGGAGAGATACCTCTTTTGAAAAGGTGGGAGGGGAGGCGAGATAGTAGAAGCTGCTGCAAGTATAAACCACCAGATTTCTCAGACAATCTAGAATTTTCTCATTGACTTTCAGTTTACAGATTTGGTGTAGAAAAAGGCGAAGAACAATCAGTCCATGCACACTCTTAACTTCCAGACAATCTTTTGGAGACCTTACACAGCAGGCCTGCGGACAGTTTCCCAACTTTCTTTGTTTGCTTTAAAAGTAACATTGGTACTTTGTTTGCTTTAAAAGTAACTGCCTGTTGGGAGTTCAAGAGAGGCAGCTTAATTCTTTTGCCCTTCTTCCCAACAGATGAAAGGATTCTTGGATTTGCCTTACAATCTTTTTGAACTCCTTAAGGCAGGTTATCCTGCCTTGTGGCCACTCATGGTGTGGCTACAGACATTCAGGAGTCAATGGGAAATGCAAAGCTTATATTTTACCATTCTTGTTCTTTTCTTTTTCACAACTATATGCAATGAATATACCCTTTAGTGTGCACACTAACTTCCTAGCCTCAATCATTCATTCATGCCTTTGTTTACTTCCAGATAACTGTATTAACAACAAGAGAAAATTTTAACCTTGATGCCATCCAAATATTTAGGTTAACATTTCTAAATAGTGAATTACATTAGATGGTGCCAGTAAAAGGGTCTCTTATTTATTTATTTTTTATGCTGCCTTTCACCCAAGATAGGAGCCAAGCCAGCTCACAGCATACTTTGTTAACAGTCATGGACTCTTGAGCAGAGGCTTGCTGTTATTCTGGATGCTACCCTCCATTCTTCCAGAATGAATTCTGAGTGTTTTCTTTTTCTAAACAAGGGGGTCAGACAATCTATCACCATATTTGTTTTACATGTATGGCAGAAAATATATATAGAGCAGGTTTAGACTCAGAGGAGTGGAGGAAGGCACATCTAAGATATGCAGACACTGTAAAACTAGCAGGAAATGAAAAGACTTGGAAAAAATGCTAAAGTCAAAGAAGAAAGTGGCAAGACAGGCCAAGTGTTGAACATTAAGAATACAAAAATAGTGATCATAGTGGGTTTACATGAATTCAACTTAGACAACAAGGAAATTAAAATAAATGAAATAGTTAAAGACTTCAGAAAACTAGGAATGGAAAGGGCAGTTATGAAAAAGCTAGGCAAGATCCTAAAGTGCAAATATATACAACTGAAAACAGTTAAGTCAGGATTGTCCAACCCATAGTATATTCCATCACCATGTATGGATGAGAGTTGGACAGTGAAAAAAGTGGACAGAAAGAAAATCAATTCATTTGATATGTGGTGGAGGAGAAGAGTGTTTAGAATACCATGGATGGCAAAAATGTTGAACAAATGGGCACTAGAGTAGATCAAGCCTGAACTCTCTCTGGAAGCAAACTGAGGCTTTCGTACTTCAGCCACATCATGAAAAAGCATGACACGCTTGAAAAGAAATGCTAGGAAAGGTGGAGGGCAGTAGAATGACTGGAAGGCCACATGCCAGATGGTTAGACTAAATCAAGGAGGCCATGGTCTTGAGCCTGAGCAGAACAATTGAGGACAGAAGTTTTGGAAATGTCTTGTTCACAGGGTCACCATGAGTTGAAGTTGTCTGAAAGGTAGTTAACAAGAACACAGTGCAGTTGAGAATCAGTGTGGCAAAGCAACTTAGATGTAGGAGTCCAGGAGACCAGAGCCCAAATCCCCACTCATCCATGGAAAACCACTGGGTGTCCTTGGGCAAGTCACATTCTCTCCACCTAAAGAGGAAGGCAACGACAAACCTGAGTAAATCTTTCCAAGAAAACCCTATGATATAGTTGCCATAGGCTGGAGTCAGCTTGAAGGCAAATAACAACAATTCAGTGGAGAATAAACTTATACTGATAAAGTAGCAGAGAAATAGTTGAGTAGTGCTTGAAATGGGGTGTGATGTTATCCATCACACTTTGTTTCCACATTCTGCTTCTCAGAGGAGCTGAATGGAGTCTGGCTTAACCATTGCACTTCTTTTCCCACCTTGGCTGCTACACCATAATACAAAATTGGCTGCTACAAAATTATAGCAAAAATATAGCAAAATTGGCTGCTACACCATAATACAAAATATTATTATTTTATGTATATGCTTTGCAATTATTGTTCTTTTATTTATATATTGTTCTTTCTGTAGAGCACAGGGTGATATAGATGGTGCCTCCTCTCTAACCAAGTGAATTAGATAATGGATGTGGTTTGGCTGAGAGGCAGCGATTGCATCAGTATCAACAAGGAGCTTCAGGATGAGTGGGCATTTTGGTCTTATGAAGGAGATGCAAAGCTCAGGATGTTTAAAGATGATTTCATTCTAGAAATTAGTCCAGTGTGTTTCAGAAATATTTATATGGCCTTATTCAGGGGCTGTTTAAAAAGGGGAAAAGGTACAATACACACACATTAGTAACTTGAAACAAGTCATGAATAGTGCAAAAGCTGCTTGTGCATATATGGCTTCATAAAATGAAATCTATCAAAATTAATCCAGTAAACCAAACATAATGCATAGATATAAAAACAAGAAACTTTATATATTTACAAAACTATTTAAAAGCCAATCTGATTTTATAGATGTGTCTCAAAATCTTCCAAATTTCAGTGTTCAAAGTTGAGGGAGAAACATGAACGTAGTTTTTTCCTTTGGTATTTTTCCATTGTTTAGTTTAGTTTGTTTGTTTTTCCTTGTAAGAGAAAAATCTAATAATGAAGAAAGATGGGATGACTTTATGGTGCCTTAGAGCTGTGAGAGAAGGCTCTCTTTTTAGAAGAAGCCCTAATCTATCAAACTGCTAGATAAGCATGTAGTGTAACTTTGAAGACAAATGTTTTATACAGGCACTTCCAACCTAGAATCCCATTTAACCTTAACACTTTGTTATATATGCTACCTAGAGAAAGTTCTAACTTTGGAGCTTATCGCATGGCTTATTAAAGTGCCTTATTGCTCCCAACTTAAATTTTAATTTGGATGGCATCCTGATACTATCACAGTGATTTTGCCATTGAATCTGCTGCCCGAATACATCCCGGGTTCATCCCTGCTCCCAGGGGCACTCAGCGTGTCACTTTTTGAAACTAGGAGTTTTCTGGCTTAAGAAAATGGTGAGTGCCCCTTGAAGCAGAGGTGGACCTGGACTGTATTTGGGTGGAAGATTTGGCAGCAAAATCACTGCAATAGTATCAGGATGCCACCTGAATTAAAATTTAAGTCGGGAGAGGTAAGGCACTTTAATAAGCCATGCCATAAGCTCCTTCCACACACACACATATAACTAACACCCTCTCTCAGTCTATCAACATAGCTTCTGTAGCAGTGCCAGTAAACCATACCATCAAAACAATGGGTCCTTTAATGCTACACAGTCATAGTACGATGCTTCTACTTTAGCTGCCATGGTTTTCTCCTGTGGAATCTCCTGGGATTTATTATTTGACCAGAGGCAAAGGATTCAAAAGGCATTTCCCTTAAACTGAAATTCCCAAGATTCCACAGGAGGTTGTCATGACAGTTAAAGTAGAATTAGAGATCTATAATGCTGCAGTGTGAAAGGGCCCTGTGATGGCTTTCCTTACTCACCATGTCCCCCCATTTCCTCGGCAAATTGCTCCATCTTTCCTTGAGCTCCCAACTCCCTTCAGCCCCTTTGCTTGAGGTTACTAGGAAATTACCTGGTATTTCTTACCCAACTTACTCTAACTTTCTACCTGCTTCTCTGTGTATGTGTGATTAGACTCAGTTGGGTGGTTGCTGGGCAATCTTTCCATCTGGCAGCAAGCATTGGAGTACTTATAACTACTGATAGGATGGAGTGATGCAAATCATTTCCTTGTTTTTGTTTTTTGAAATCACTTGAGATCACATTTTCCTCACAGCAGCACAGAAGAGAGTGCTGCTGTGAGGAAAATATGATCTCAAGGGATTTCAAAAAACAAAAACAAGGAAATGATTTGCATCACTTCATCCTATCAGTAGTTATAAGTACTCCAATGCTTGCTGCCAGATGGAAAATGTCAAAATGTTTGTGAGAATTGGTATGGATTAGTACTTCAGCTAAATCCTGGCTATTAGGCCAAATAGTATTTATTTAGTGGTTTGAGTGCTGGACTACAACTCCAGAGATCAGGGTTCAATTCCCAGCCCATAAAACCCACTGGATGACTGCGGGCAAGTCACATCTCTCAGGGGAAGACAATGACAAATATCCACTGAACAAATATTGCCAAGAAAACTCCATGATAGGTGTGTCTTAAGAGTTGCCATACATCATAAACAACTTGAAGGCACACAACAACAACCAGAAGAAGAGTTTTTCTAGCTTCTAAATGGCGCAGATATTTGAGGGATAGTGGAGAAAGTAGTTCTTTTTCAAGGAACTATTCAATGTGCCAAATCTATTTTGAGGAAGAGTTCATCTCCTTTAACATTCAGGCAAAACCTGAAGTGTCTTTGCCACCCCACTGTTGTAGAAGTGACCAGGTGCCACTGGGTAGTCCAACTTAATATCATCTTCTTTCTCTGAATCTCTCTGTGGCACCTCTCTCACTTGTTCTGATGATGCAAGAAGAGAGACTCAGGTGCCCCACATTCATAAGCACCCAAGTCCTGATAATTACCTATGTGAGCATCACAAGGGGTCTACATTTGTATATGTACATTTTCAGACCTTGTGGAAGGAGGTATCTAATGCCATTGTGCAACAACACCCAACATCAATTCCTGATGCAGCTCAATCTCCCTGGCAATTGATCATCTACAAGTAAATGCCTGGGGGTGTTGTGGCTGCATATTGTAGAGATGGAGGCTTGTTCTTTTTCCACTTAACAACTGTAAATACACTGGTGGAGAAATATGCTCCACTAGAGTGATGTGGCTTCTGACCATTATATGGGTAGATTGACAAATTAATTAACAAAACCAGCTCTATACAGGATTATATCAAAGTACGTCCAGCCCCAAGAAGGGCAAGACTCTGTTGTTTCTTTGGTAGATTTAAATACAGGATATAAAGGACATTTATAAATTCAACTATATAAAATCCTGAGATCAGTCAACCACTTGCAATAAATACATTTTCTTATCTTGTATTCAGGTTTATAACACATACTAGAAATGGGAAATGGGTTTGTTATAGACTCAAGAAACTGGAGACAAGAGAACAATAATTATATAATGGGAGCAAGCAATACCAGCTGAAGTGGGAAATGGGAACAAAGAAAATGATGTAATCTCAATATACCAGATCAATCACTTTGCTTTCTGTATCTGAATATTCCACATTAAAAAAATGGTCTCAAGTTTTTGTCTGCTTTTCAGGGTCAATAATAATCAGGGGAAATGAAGTATATTTTTTATCACAGGATAAAGAGAATTCCAGACAGTGAGACAACTTTTGCAACTTACATTTAAGACTGCTATCTCATGACTGAGCAGACAAAGGATCCTTACGTTTGCTCTGCTGTTCTTTCTTCAAAAGACACCTTATCTGGCTATCAACAATAATGCAAGAGAAGAACAAAAAAGGAAAAGAAAAGAAAAGGAATAGCTCCTCCAGAGAAAGGGCTGAAACTCAGAGTATGACCTAAGAATTTGTTAAATCTAGTTATTTGACCTCACTGTAACTGGAAATAAATGGGGTTTTCAAGAGAGAGGTCATTTCTCATGTGGCTCTGTTCCTTTTTTGGTATTGTTTCAGTCAAACTCTACAAAGAAAATTAGAAGTTTGCCTTTGGAAAAGCCAGAAGTGTACCACATTTAGCTGCTATTTGTTTTAATTTACAAGTTGCTTTTAGCTTTCATTTAAGGGAGAAAAGTCATTATAGTGAGTAGCTGTTTTAGTTTTTGTCTCTCCCCCCCCCCCCGTTGTTATGTAAATGTTGTTTTATATATCTAAATGTTATGTTGAATGCATTTTTTAAAAATTACAAATGCCCCCACCGAGACAGGCAGACAGCGCTAGAGCCTTTATCTCTTTACACCAGAGATTTAGGCCATTTTTTTTTCTTAGCCATTACTAAGTAACTATCTTAATTACTACTGAGATCAGTCATTTTTCTGACTTGTTTGCTAGATTCTGATTTTGTTTAAATTAGGAGTAACAAGTAATTATAATAACTAGATGAGTGTGATTAATAGTGCCATGGATTTCAAACAGTTTTCCTGGAACACAAGGGAAACTTCAAAACTCAACAAGATAATCAAAAGTTATGACAGGTATGTGTAACTCCACAAAAATGCTCAATTCAGAGGTTTCCCAGGTCATAGCAGCATCTAAAACCCTGACATTTCAGGACCAAAATCTGGGATCTAGGGATAGTCTCTAGCTGTCACATGGAACAGACAGATCTATTAAAATTTTCCAAGCTATGGATTGAATAAAAAAAACCCAAACTTTCCCCAGCTTTAGATGCAAGCAGTACTTTTAATAGCACATGAGACTTAACAATTTAACTGATGAACGGTTTCCAAGCTTTGCTTTGAACATCTCCTAAACTTTTCCTAACTCTGTTTTTATTATGTTTATTAGCACTGATTTTATCACATAGGAATTGTAGTCCACACAAATAAACTTTTCCAATAAAAAAGTCAGTTTTCCAAACTTTGCTTTTAACGGGTTGCTTCCATTTAGCAGTACCCTTTACTGGCCATATTTTCCTTTTTTACACTTAGGTTGTGAAATCCTCCCACCACCAATAATAATTATGCTACTACTAATGAGTAAATATTTGGGGGAAGGGAAGATGAAAATGATGATGATGATGATGACGACGACAACAACAACAATGGCAATGGCAATAGTTATAAGCATATACAGCCAGAGTGACAATTCTATGCATGTCTACTCAAAATCTAGTATGGGAAGCTTTATAATCCAAAATTCAGAATGGGAAACCTTATAATTCACTTGAGTGGGGGGACAAGGATTAATAACAATTACAAACTATTTGCATTTTTCTCTCTTCTCTTCTCTTCTCTTCTCTTCTCTTCTCTTCTCTTCTCTTCTCTTCCTTTTCTTTCTTTTATCTTTTCTGTATGTCCTATGTATAATACTTGTTCTCCCCCATGTAGTTGTTCATATTTCACTATATTCAAAGTAAAATAAATAAATAAAATAAATTCAGCCTTATTGTGTTAATGAGACAACTTTAAAATGCTAAGAAACTAGCATATCCAGGACAAAGAGTATGAAAGAGAGAGAAAAGAAGAAAAACAAAGAGAAGAGAGGGACAAATGAATGAAAGAGAAGAATGAGTGTTGACAGGAGTTGTGGAGGATAGAAGAAGAAGTAATAGAAGAAATAGAAGAAATAAAAGAGAGAAGGGAGGGAAAAGATATTTAGTGAGGAGTTGCCAAAGGAGTAAGAGGCAGAAGGAATAAGAGGACAAAAAATAGAGAAGTGAAACAAAAAATGAAAAGAGAAAGGAATCAAGTACCTAAACACAACTGAAGAAGAAAGACATTTGCACCAGATTTGGTTTGGTTTTGCTAAAAGTTGTGTTGACTATTCAGACACTTCACCTAGGGTTGGGAATGTGGAAACAGAGCTGGGAAAGGTAAAATAAGCCACAAAACAGTAATCTTGAAGTACCATATTCACAGATTGCTGAGACAGTTAATACTGAGGCAGCTCAGAATTTCTCTGTGCTGACTGCTCCCTCTTCTGAGCCAGCAGTGGTCTGAGAAACTTTGTGAAGGAGAAGATGAGTGAATAAAAATTGCTCCAAAGCATCTTGCCAGCAGTAGACGATAAGGAGGAGGAGCAGGAGCAGGAGCAGGAGGAAGAAGAAGAAGAGGAAGAGAAGAAGAAGAAACCACAACCACTACTACTGCCAGTACTACCCCTGGAGAAGAGGGGCCAAGCCCATATATCTTGGATCCCTGTATTTTCGGTGTGATGGTTGGGCTGGGAAGTCAAATATTTCATGTGAACCAATTGTGGATCTTGTTGTTGCTTTCTCCCTTCAAATCATTTCCAACTTACGACTACCCTAAAATAGACATGGGTTGCTGCTTTGTTTTTGGGTTTGATTGTTTTTTTTTTTTTTTTTGCAAGATTTGTTCAAAAGGGATTTGTCTTTGCTTTTTTCTGAGTCTGAGAAAATGCGACTTGCCCATGGTCACCAGGATTTAAACCCTGATCTCCAGAGTTGTAGTCCAGCACTCAAACCACTGTACCACACTGGCAAAATTAATTACCAAATCTGTCACTTTATTTTCTTGGGCTTGAAACATTCTGAGAATCGTAACCTGGCCTACAGAAAATAAGTTTCTGTGTTTGTGAATTGAATTTGATATGCCTGTTCATCACCAGTGGAAATTTATTACAAATGGCTCTCACCCATGTTGACTAGATGTTCTGTTCATCTCATTGGATTAAATATTAATTTTAGTTCTGCATAGAACTCTCAGTTGGTGACACACTTATTTCTGTTGCTCACATTGCTTGATCTTTAGGCCTCACTTATGAAATAGTATGTTAAAATGATAGAACATAATACAAAACCCACACATATTGGGAAAGAGGTTGTAGAAGTCCATTGCTTCTACAACCTCTTTCCCAATATGTGTGGGTTTTGTGTTATGTTCTGATTTTGTGTTATGTTCTGATTCTTGTTCCAACAGATCTCATCTTCAAGGCATGTTCTGCAATAAAAATAAGGGTCAAACAACCTATCATAAGTGGATCTGAGTAACCCATCATAAGTTACTACATGCTGAATATCCCTTATTTGAAATGCTTGGGACCAGAAATGTTTTGGATTTCAGAATATCTGAGTTTGAATGTACATACATATTGAGATATCTTGAAGATGTCTAAACACAAAATTCTTTTATTTTTCATATACACCATATATACATAGCCCACCCTTTTTTCCACTGGCAGCGGCTGGGAGTGGAAATTGAGATTGTGCGGAGGAAAGGAAGATATGGCGGGAACAGAGTGAGGAGCTGTTACAAAAGAAGTCAGGATCGATGCTTGAAAGCTATCGCATCTTCAGTTCACCCTGTTTTCTGGGATGGATTGGAGAGCATACCAATCATTCCACAGAACCTTACCTTTCTCCTTTGCAATGCCAGGTTGGTCAAAAACAAGACTCATATAATCTATGACCTCCTCTTAGATGAAGACACCGACCTGGCTTGCT